CCTACACCAAACACCCTGTATATTTAAAAATTATATCAAAATATAGCTCTCATGAACTCCTAAAACTTTTGTATGAAACATTTTTGTGTATCTCCTTCAACAAACCAGATATTTCCTGTCACATAAAATGTGGGACACCCGGTAAGTATGTACGGCGAATGAGGTCATACGTAATAAGTAGTAAAAAACGTCATTATTCAAAACAATGTATTTACAACGAACACGAACAAAAATATGGAATATCACATTTGTGAGGATGCAGCAATTGACAATAAAGAAAAAGAAGAATGAATTTATTTCGTCAAGCTCTTCGGAGGTTCGGTGTCGTCGCCCTAGTTCGTGCTCCTCCTGGGCGATAAGCTCATCCATGAGGTCTTTCTCATCGACGTCGTCATCTTCGTCTTCCTCACTGAGGTTAAACTCACGTGAGTTCTTGCAGGCATAGCCGGAGCAATGCTCGCAAATTACTAAGTACTGCAGACTTGCCTTCTTGCAACTGCAAGCCGCGGTGTTACACCCTCTGGCGCACTTGCAGGCATGACTTTTGAGGAGAAAATCCAGGGCTGCGTTTTTCGTGGTGGTGGTAGGTACCACTCCTTGCTTGCTTAGTGACCACCCTCAAACTGTAGGGATTTTGTTGTTCCCTAACAGAATTTGTACCTGCTGGTATGTGCGGAAGGAGTGATATCTTGCACATTCACTAGTCGGTGGACGCCGGGCAAGTTGGAATTTTGTTTTCAGCACCTTCGTGACTTCGTGAATATCTTGTATCGCAGTGTATCCAGGTTATCTAGCTTGGTATCTCCTCTATACATTGCCACTAGGCATTTCTCACCTGCTTCACAAATTTCTGATGCAGTCGTATCTGGGTTGATAAAAATGGTCATGTTTGCCCTAAGGGAGGGATATTTGGCGTACGTACTGTACACCTTCTTATTTCCCAACCCAAAAGGTGCGGAGCTAGTATCGCACCCGTTTATCGCATGAAGGAAAAAAATGTCCTCGAGCTGGATTTTATGTGATACAGATGTGTACATTACGCTGGAAACGTTTCCTCTTCAATCAACTGCAATCAGCCCTTCAATCTTTTGATCAAAACCTTCTTCTCACCAGAAATAGGACCAGTACACACTTGTTGTTCGTTCACTGGTGGTTCATTTCGGTGAGCAATGGTTTCGAACGCGGATTTGGCCTTCCTCTCCCTCACATTGGTTGCCCTCAAGCGGAAAAAACAACAAAAAAAGAAACGGCGGTGATCGAATGAGTGGTACATGGTAATGATGCAGATTCTACCTGGTGACTGACGCAATGCTTGACGAAAACTGCCCTAGACGACCAACCCCCTCCTTCAACCGCTTGAGTCATTCAAACTTTCTATCAATCACCATCAAACCTCGCTTCAAGCGTCAAACAGAATCCTACACGGTCAATCACGCTTGAGTCAATCGATTAACTCAAGCTTTTGATCAAAATGATTGACCGTCTAGGGCCTCCTTTACTCGCCAAAGTTTCAGCCATTTCGGACGCGCAGTTATTATGTAACAGTCGTCTGAGTGAGTTGTGATTTTTTTTATGAAAATGGACAAAATCGAGTATCGATCTGTCATTATATAATTGTTTTTGAAAGGCAAAAGCCCTACGCAAATCAAAGATGAGTTGAATTATGTGTATGGGAACTCTGCAGCATCAAAGATGAGTTGAATTATGTGTATGGGAACTCTGCAGCATCATTTACCACAGTGGAATTTTGGGCAGCTGAATTTGAAAATGGCCATAAGAGCTTGAAAGACGATGAACGTTTGGGAATTCCATGAACTGCAACTACTGAAAAAAACATCGCCAAACTTCACCGAATGGTGCTAGACGACCCCGCCGAATCAAAGTGATAGAGATAGCAAAGATTATGAAAATGTCACAAGAACGTGTTTGTCACATATGAGGAAGCTGTCCGCTCGTTGGGTGCCCAATTTTCTCACGTTAGAACAAAAACCTGTTGGCGCTCTGTTGCCGCAGTTTAGATGGAAAGAATCCGGGTTTTGGCGCCGTTTAATTACTGTAGGTGAAACTTGGATACACCATTATACGCCCGAAACAAAAATACAATCCAAACTGTGGATTGCAAAGGGGTAACCGGCTCCGAAAAAAGCTAAAACTGAATTTCACTAGTTCGAACTTCCTTTGTCTACTATATAAAATGATTTGAAATCCCTGAAATAACTAAAAAGAAGAGTTGAGAATGAATAACTGAAAATAACAATTATATTAAGCAAAATAAACCTGAAATGAAATGATAGTGAAATAAAATACAAGTATAAATAGAACAATTGAACAAAAATAAAGAAATGAAAAAGAAAATAAAAATAAAAAGTTGAGAGGTTCCAAGTCACGTTAGTTCACGACGTTTCGATTGTTAGTATCTACAATTGTCTTCGGGTGATGACTGGACTGATTCCTCCGTGAGATGACTATTTATAGGTCGTTCGAGTACTTTCACTTATCCCTCTCCATTTTCCGCTTCACTGGTTCCGTGGGAGATGACCGTTTGGCGGGAGTTGGCCATTTTTCGCTTGATGATGGGTTTCCATATGTTGCGTATTTCTACGCTGGCTTGGCTGAATACGTTGTTGGACAATATGTATGCGGCTTCCTTGAATTTTCCCCTAAACCAATGTTCCTCTTTGTGCAAGATCTCAGCTTGGGACCACTCGATGTTGTGTTGATGGGTCCAAACATGGTCTGATATTCCTGATTTGCTGGTTTCCCCTCGATGTGTGTTTCTTGTGCTCGACAATGCGAACATTCAATGGCCTCTTAGTTTTACCAATATAGGATTTTCCGCACTCAGAGGGTATCCGGTAAATGCAATTTTTGGAATCGCAGTCCGCGTTTGGTGGCCTGGTTTTCGTGAGGCTGCTACGCATAGTGTTACCGGATCTGAAGCAGGTTCTGATGTTGTACTTGGAACAAATTCTTCTTATCCTCTCCGATAATACTCTGATGTAGGGAAGTGCAAGCACTGGATGTGACCTCTTCTCTTCCTTGCGAGGCTCCTGCTGTCTTTAAGCCAAAGTCTTTTCTACCATCGCTTTGGAGTAGCCATTCCGTTGAAGATCATTTTTGATGATGTCTAGTTCCTTCTCGAGACCTTCCTTCGAATTACAGAGCCCAATCATCACCCGAAGACGATTGTAGATAGTAACAATCGAAACGTCGTGAACTAACGTGACTTGGAATCTCTCAACTTTTTATTTTCATTTTCTTTTTCATTTCTTCATTTTTATTTATTTTTGTTCAATTGTTCTATTTTCACTTGTATTTTATTTCACTATCATTTCATTTCAGGTTCATTTTGCTTAATATAACTGTTATTTTCAGCTATTCATTTTTAATTCTTCTTTTTTAGTTGTTTCAGGGATTTCAAATCATTTTATATAGTAGACAATGGAAGTCCGAACTAGTGAAATTCATCATGAAACATTGTCAATCACCTTCAAAAAAAAGCTAAAACTGTTTTTTCGTCTGAGAAAGTGTTGGCTAGTCGTGTAGTTATTTCAATCGAATATCTTCAAAATGTAAAAACCATCACAACAACATACTACGCATCATTACTTGAAAAGCTGAAGGCAGAATATGCGGAAAACCGGCCACATTTAAAAAAAAACAATCTTATTTCACCACACCTCAACGTTTGCCATGGCAAAAATCCACGAAATAGGGTTTGAACTTTTTTTA